GTCGCCAGCGACTCACGGCAGCCCAGCTCCAGGTTGAGCTGTTGTTCAGCATCTTAGCTGTGGAGGGCAGTGTCACTGGCCCTCATCTGTGGGATCCGAACCGGGGCCCTCTGGCGTCCCAAGCCAGCTCTTAACCATCGCGCCACTCGGCCGGCCCTGGGCTTATCTAATTTATAATGAGTAGGATTAGCTTTGATTTTTCTACTGTATTTCTACCCACTGTATAGATAAAGGACAAATGAAAAATATACTTACATTTGTCCTTTGTGGGTTTTATGCTGTACATGAGCATTTAGCTCCCTTAAGTCATCTGCTGGTGAGTTATAGGTGCCTAGAGGCATGACATGGAGCAGCCCGACCCTGTGGAAGTTCACACCCTATAAAAACATGAAATACATTAAGTTGCCTCTAGAAGTAGGTTTTATGAAAATTTAGGATCAGGAGCTGCTTAACTTAAAAAGATAGTGACTAGGATTTAATATGAATAGAAATCAGTGCACTTTGTTTTTTGTTTTGTTTTTTGGGGGGCATAATTCCCTTTCAAAAACCTTGACTGTTATTTATTCAGAAAATATTTTGTAAAGACATCATCTGCATTAAAAGGAAGCTTTTTATGAACTGTAAATAGGACTTAGTGGCATCTAAGAGAAAGACAATTGGGTTGGAATTTTCAGAGGACTTTTTCATTTTTAAAATTAAAGATTCTGATTCTGATGGCTTCATTCATTTTCTAAGTTGTTTGCATCAGATCTGTTCCCCCAGTCTGATTTCCTTAGAAACTTTCTTTTATTCCTCGAATAGAAATGATGGTTATAACAAGTTAGCTAATTGGTGTTTTTCTGGTACCAGTTTTTTAGGGTTATTGAGCTTTTGGTCTATCTTGGTGGTTAAATTCAGATTTAAGGCTTGATAATTATGTTCAAAATACACTCTGAAATTACTGTGTTGAAGATAAAATGATAAGGCTTACCCTGACTATCACTTTTGACAACTAAAAGTATGTGGCCTTTTAAAAATACTAAAAATCAGGAGTATCATCTTTACCTGAAAACTTTAGCTGAAGAACATGACATGTCACTCTTTGGGATATTAAAGTGTTAGAATTTTTAAAACTCTATTATATACTGCTTTTCTGGTTCTTTGTTGGTTTTATATCTGATTCTTATTTCTCTGAATGCATCACTCATGGTCTTTGGTCTTTATAATCAGACATATATATATATGTTTGTTTTTTTGCTGAGCCATCCTGCCACCTGTTGTCAACTCAGCGGCAGCTCAGCTCGGGCGCTGCGTCACTGGCTCACATGGTAGTCAAACTGGCGGCCCTGCCGTTTAGAGCTCACGCTCCCAAGCCAACTCCCAACCAACTGAGCCACTGGGCCGGCTCTAATCAGATATATTTTGAGTATGGAGTATGTCTTTATTTTTCCTGTATTTGGAAACCCAGACAGAGCTCATATTGAACTGAATTGGATTATAGGTTATGGGCCTGTTCTGAGATTCCGTATTTATTGACTCGTTTTAATTCACAACCTATGAGGCAAGTACTGTTATCCCTAGTTTATAGATGAGGAAACTGAGATACTTGCCATGGTCACATGTTTAACTACTCTTTGCCCTGTTTGTCATCTCTGATGTGTTCAGAGCGCTGATCAGGCGCTGCTCTGAGGTACAGGGTGTTTCTAGGTAAGCTCACCTGAATCTTGGCTCTGCTTGCCTTTTCACCATAATGTGATCTGCTGGGGAGACCCGAGTCAAGACATAGCCAATTATAGCTTTGGTCCTCAGTTTTATACAAAATCTGGATTTTTCTAACGCCTATAGCCACCCAATCTTAGTGGTATAGATGAATTCTGTACAAAACCTCATCAACAACTAATTGTCAGTCATGGCTTCTTTAAAATAAATTGTCAAATTTGTTGTTTTTCAAACAGTGCATGCAGAAAGGCAGCATACAGGAAAGTGACTGGATAGCATTTTAGAAAATTCCGTGGTTCTGACTCAAAGTGATACATGTCAATTTTCAGGAGGCCCTTGCACTGTATCTTGGAATTAACATTTGTGTATCTCTAAAGGGCTATTATTGGGAGTTGTTTAATGGGTTGGAGTTTCATTTTGGGAAGATGAAAAAGTTCTATAGATGGATGGTGGTGATGGTTGTATAACAATGTGAATATACTGAATGCCAATGAACTGTACCCTTAAAAATGGTTTAAATGGTAAATTTTATTATGTATATTTTAACCACAATAGAAGAACATTTTTTAAGAGGGTAAAAAAGGTAATTATTTCACCTAGGCCTAGGTGTGTGAGGGTTGCCGCCTTGTGTAATTTGCTATTGGTGTTGAATGGTATGTGCTAACAACACAGGTTTGTGAAGCTGGCATAGGGATATGATTCTAATGTAGCAGTTGAAGATTGCCAACTCTTGTTCCAAACTGCCTAGATGTATGTACTGGTTCTACCACTTACTTGCTGTGTGACCTTGGATAAGTTACTTGGCCTTTCTGGTCCTCACGTTCCCTATTGTAAAGTAGAGATAATAGTACTTATTTCATGGACTTATTGTAAAGATTAAATGTGATGTGAAAATGCTTCAAATACTACCTATCACATAGGGAGTGCTATGGGTGGACATCTAGATCTGAGTTCTAAATTATATTACTGACATAAATACACCTGTAAATGTAAGCTTAAATCAAACACTTATTTTTAATTTTGTTTTAAAGGTAAAAGAAATAGGAGATCACTTTAAACAACATCTTCTACAGTCCAGGCACAGAGGAGCATTTGAACTGGCTTACACTGGCTTTGTGAAACTCACTGAAATACTCAACAGGTAAAACAAAACAAATAATCCTTTTGTGTACATTTTTAAAAGGCAAAACGTAACAACCGTATGCGTGAAGTAGAATTTAGTTGTGTAGTTTAGATGTTTAAAAGAACAAGACTTCATTGGCTTCAGAACTCTTGGAAGAAATTGTTTTCTTAGGTTCCATTGTATGATTTACTGCAGACGAGTGAGTGAAATGTCCAGATTAAGTTGTTCTCTCATTGAAAGGTGATTTGAAGCAAATGCAAAGATTTTGCTAAAAATAGCTTTGAAGTTACCTTTTCTTTTTGAATGAAATGACTGTTGTTTCTGTTTGAAAATTAGTTGGCATTTTGGAATAAAATAAGCCCTCCAGTTTTTTGGATTTGTATGTATTACAGACAAACACTTAAGGATTTTGTGGGGGTTTTATTTCATAGTTGTATCTTATAGAAAAAATTTAAAAAACAGTAAATGGACCAAAATGTTATAACAGGTTTTCTCCCTCACTTGGAAAAATGCCTAGGTCGATTTCATATATTTAGCCAAATGTGTTTTTTTTTTGTTTTGTTTTGTTTTATTACATTCTAGGTGCTGATAATTTCATTCATTCATATACTAGATTTCCTCCAAAGAGCTTCTGAGGAAACCTTAAATTACTTAATGACTAAGTGTTCATGGCAAGTGTTCTCTAAATAAAAGGTAGTATTTTCCAGGAAAACATTTCCATTGCCTGGAAACTTTTTGAAATGAAGCAGAGTTCTGCCAGCCTTGTAGCCTCAGCAAACATTTTATTTTGGGCTGTTAAGACATCCACTCCTTGAATATTTTTGAAGCATTTTTTTTCACACTCCTGGGAAAAACATTTATAAAACATTTTGGCAGTTATGGGCTGCACAGAATATCTTTAAATGATACATTAAAAAGTGTTCCTGACATTAAACTACTGATCTTAAAAATATTTTGTTATCTTTTCAACACTTTCTTTCCAATGTAGACATGATTTAGGAATAACTTTTTCTCTTAACACTACACATTTCACTCCCTTCAAATCTATTAACAAATATATATTGAACACTAGTTGTGTGCTTAATACTGTGGTTGGTTTGGAGGATATAATACTTCTTTGTAAGACAAGCTTCCTCCTCTCAAAGCGCTTATGGTTTAGTTTGGGAAATAAGCAGGGATGAAATTCAAAATATTTAACAAATGGTATGGCATGGGCACTGACCGTTCAGAGCAGACACTGGCTATAAACATCCAACATCACTACATGTACAGATGTGTGTTAGCTGAGTACAAGTCTGAAAAGTGAGACTAACACATTTGAACAAGATAAACAATCCAATGTAACTGTCAGTATTTGAGTGAAATTTACAAATTCTGTAGGCATATCAGAGAGAGACAGCCACAGGGCTTTATGATAGGGCTTAATGGAGGAGGTAGCATTTGTGTTAATATGTAAGTAAGGTTTAAGTAGAAAGGGGGAGAAAAGAGGAAACTTTGTGAGCAAATGTTCAGAGGCTAGCATCAGCATGGCTATTGTTAGGTGAATAAATAAATTGGACTTACTGTGGTGGTGGTGGTGGTGGTGGAGTTGACTAGGCAATACCATATAACTGGATAGCCAAATTATGGATACTTAGAAAGTACGTTTGCTGTAGTAGGGATAGAGGATGGCACTGAATATTTTTTATCTGAAATCGATAATAGGAGGGGAGGGATTGTAGAATACAGAAACAGCAGTAGTGTATGACACAAGCACTTCTCTTTATATCCATTCCATTTATTGGTAATGAGATTGTATGAAAGTTAACCTCCTTAGAAACGGATCTCTTCATCTCAATAGTAAGGAAAATAATATTTGGTCTATTGACAGATCTCTCTGGCTTTTGTTGTAAGTAAAATAGATATTTATGAAGGCCATTTTGCATTATAAAACATTCTCCAAATATAAAATATTATGAAATTGATGTTGATTGTGGGTTATACAAGTAGTTTTTCAGCTGAAAGTGTTAGGTTAGATAGATTGTAATGACAGATTGCAGTGAGGAGAACCTGGAATCAGTTCTAATGATCTAGATTTGAGGTGATAAGAGCTTCCTCTGTGATGATGGCTCTGAGAATGAAGGAAAGAGGTAGTATCTCAAACATTCAGCCTCACACAGTAACAGCTCCATGCGTGACATATTGAATGCTTAGAAGGTAAGCTATGGACATATTTTATATTTTATTATTTTATGTTTCAAGAATTAAAGAATGCTCAACTGGGTGATTCTTCTCCTCAGGGTATTTACCAAGTTCAGTTAGTAGTTTTCAATTGGTAGATGAGCTGGTCAGCAGGGTCCAAGACAGCTGTATTCCCATGTATGGCACCTTGGTAGGATAGCCAGAAGATTGAGCCTAGGTAAGATAGCCAGAAGATTGGGACAACATGTGGCCTCTCAGCATGGCAGTCGTAGGGTAGCTGAAATTCTTGTATAGCAGCTTGCATCCTCGAAAGAGTATTCGAAGAGAACCAGGCAGAAGCTGCATGGTCTATTCTGACCTAGCCTCGGAAGTCTTATGGCATTGCGTCAGTTGCCTTCTTTGGTTAATTAGTTACTCTTAAGTCCAGGCCAGACGAAGGGGAGAGGAATTAGACTCCACTGTTTGATGGCAAAGTGGCAAGATCATATTGTAGAAATACGTGTGGGATGGAAGACATTGTGGTGACCATCTTTGAAAAATTCAGTTGGGTACATGAACCAACTGCGGGTGAGTGATGGAGGTCACCAGGGAGCCCACAGTTGTTCCTGTGGTTTAATTCTTGGTGACCAGAAAAATGGGATTGATATTAGCAAAGGCAAGGAGACTGAAAGAAGGAATTATTGGGTCGTCGGGAAAGTCATGACGTATTTTTCTATGTTTTTCAATGCAAAAATGTGTCATGACTTTCCCGACTACCCAATAGTTTAATAAAGATGAACACATTTGTTTATGTGTTGAGTGTGAGATGATGTTGGCCTATCTTGGTACAAATATTTAAGTCAGAACTTGGAGCCTAGGGGATTTGTTTGGGTGATACAGAGTAGGCAAGGCCCAGTGCCTGGTGTCTCAACCTCTCCGAGTCTGCTTTAGTGATCAACTCATGGCCTTTACAACTGGCTTTTAACCAACCTGTTGTGAGTTCTCAACTATCGCTTCCAAACCAAGTGACTCTTGATCCCTTTGCAGACATTTTAGGTCTGCTGAACAGAATGTTTTACAGAGCACATCTTGACCGTGTGTGTGGCTACCTTTTGTTTGGTTTTATTTTTAAAAGAAAATGTATTTCTTTTGGATCCTTTTGAAAGCTTTTTATAAGCTCTTAAGTTATGGAAAAGCTATTTAGGCATATAACATTTAAAAAGCTTGCAAAAAGAAATGTGGGCGTCCATGAAAATCCACTGCAATGGAGGCCAGCTGCCGGCCACCTCTTGAACGACAGCTGTGTTACGGAAGGAAGCATTTTAAGACATTAACGGATACATAACCAAGGCGTTAAACATGAGCCACATTGTTTGAATTGGATGTAAACTGACTTCATTATTAAACAATCTATTAAACAATTCACTATTGAACTAATTAAACTATTCTCTACTAAATAACCATCTAAGAATAAAGAGGAATGGGAAATACTGTTCTTTTTTCTGGGAATTGTTTTGAAAGTAACAGTGTTGTGCACTCACAAACAATATGTTGAGTTAATTTTCTAGAATATGATTTTCTTATATGGTGCTTTCTGTTTAGAACTTGATGAAATATTTATTCATCTCTTTAAAAAATACATAAGTACCTGCCTGAGCATTTGATTGGATGGTTAAGTGCATTAAGTTTCTGATGAAATTCATACTTGCTTGTTTATTCTCTGTGACCTTTGTATTTTAGTTGTTCTTTCAATGAAAATGAGCAGAATACTAAAGTAAGGTGTTAAGCCAGGGAATCTAGTGTTCATTTGTCCAATCATAAATTAAAAGCTTAACTACAAGGGGACTAAATTCCTGGCTATAATTCTAAATCTAGAAGGGAGGTTCATAAGTGCTTGATATTGTCCTACTTTTCATGTATTTGAATTGCTCTGCTTATTGAAATGTAGCTTAACCTACAAACATTTATTGCAATAATTATAATCATTTTCACATTATTGCCCTGAAAAATGAACTGCTGACATTTAACAGTTTTTCTCATTAAATGCTAGTTCTGACTCATGGACATCAACAATTATGGTAGACACAAGTAATTTAAATATGTATTTAAACTTTCATCAGTTAATTATAGCTACTATAATTCAAGTTCAACAGGAAATTTCTTATGAACAACTGAAATATAATGAAAAAATAATTTCCTCTACCTTTACTGGAGAATGAATTACCGAGTCTCTAAAGAATATGCAATTGAGGGCCGGCCGAGTGGCGCAATGGTTAAGAGCTGGCTTGGGATGCCAGAGGGCCCTGGTTCGGATCCCACATATGAGGGCCAGTGACACTGCCCTCTACAGCTAAGATGCTGAACAACAGCTCAACCTGGAGCTGGGCTGCCGTGAGTTGCCAGCGATGGCGTAGGCTGCAGCCCCTGCTGCAGTGGGTTGCCATGGGCTACTGTGTGTAGCCAGCAGCCAGAGTGAGCGGCCAGCAGCCACAGTGAGCGGCCGTCCAGAAGCCGGCGACTGATCTGCCTCGCCCGGGAAGAGCGCAATGATGGTGCCAACTTGGGCCAGTGAAGCAACGTCCTCCACAACTAGACTGAAGAACAAAAGGACAGCAACTTGTCTGTTCCCCTTCCCCCAATTCCCCAATAAAAATCTTAAAAAAAAAAAAAGAATATGCAATTGAGCAAGAAATAAATATGGAATGGAATGTACGAGATTTTGGAAAATGTTATTCAATTCTAAATGAGACAGTATACAATCTTGTCTGAACCTTTAGTCTCATCTCCTTTGGCAAATGTGACTAAGACACTTTTTATTTCTGAGTGTCCTGTGAATTTTATTTGAAATATTAATAATT